AAGTTGTGAACGGTTATTCCGCTATTGAACATTTATGATTACGTTTTTGTGTCTTCTTCACCATTATTGCAACTTCAACTTTACCGTATCTTTGTATGAGGCTTTGGCTCCACTTACACTACATTGAAATAGTAAAGAAAGTTTTTTGATTTGAATAGATTTATCGTTGAGATGAAACTAAATAAAGAGGTTACCAATTTTCATTGTAATAGCACAAATGCATTACATCTTGTTCCAAATCAAGTGATGTATAGTAAATTTAAATACATCAACATCATTTATCACTTTATCAAATTTGCAAAATCTGATAAAATAATTGAGCTAGTTAAAATTAACAATATATTAATTCCAGTTAATGCGTTGATCAAATTTATTGCTTTGAAGAGTTTTAGAAAATACTGTAATAGTATGGAGGTTTTGCATGAAGAACACAAGTAAAGTTTACTAGCAATTTTTAGTTTCCTCTATATATTTTTACTATATCATGTTTTGTCTACGACTTGATTCTAGATAAATTTAGTTTAATGAGATGACTTTGTTAGATTTACTTCTAGTATTGATCATAGAGTAATATATAGATCAAGGATGTGTTTTCATTCCTACATGAGTTAAGGAGAAGATTGTTAGGATGAACTCAAGTTAATTAATTTCAATTTCAATTATGATTGTTCTAGTTAATACTAATACTAGGTCTAGACTAACAAGTATATATGAAGGGTCAAGACATAGATGATCTTAAATAAGTGTAGATTCCTTAAGTGTAAAACTCGTTCTTGTGGACATAAACTCAGCGTGACAAATCACGGAATATTTTGTCGATGATTTTTTTGTGTATGTATAGAGGCTATTGTTTTGTCTATTGCGACATTCATTTTGTGTTATTATGGTGTTTTATTACATTATTTTATTTACAAGAAAGTGTACAAAAATTGAATGAAAATAAGCAATTAATGGTCCACTTCATTGGACTTGAAAATACAAATATCACAAGGTGTTTAGATGATCTGGTACTCATGGGATGATACGATGGATCAATGTGCAACGGATATCAGACTAGTCAAGTTCCCTATCAACTCTACTTCAAAGTTCAAACTTTCAACTCAATAAATGCTTAGCTTCTCTACTTCAAATTTGGAGTTTGAACTTCTTAAGGGACGAGCTCAACGCATTAAAAGTTTTAGACTATCCCTATCTACCTTCTGAGAAGATCTTGTCCGAAGATCTCTCATGTATCGCGTATATTATCAAGAAGGAGTTGACAGGTCACATACATCACTCGGAATGAAAAGTGGAATGCCGACACACCAAGAGTGATATACGTACACGCGAAGGGAGAGGAGAAGTGCAAATGGAATCCTTCTTCAATCAACCAGGCACATTTTGGACATGACTGTCTGAATCAAGTCATAACTGCAAAAGCTTGACAACGTAAGATCACATACCCACCTTCCTCGGGTATGTGAAAATTCCAACTCATATCATTTTCATTTCCTGTCAGTATTTGTAGGTAACTTATCGATGTCAATGGAAATCTGGAACACATCAGCTTTTCTGCACACTTTCTGTGCGGTTCCTTTGTCTGTCAAAGATCTTGTGAAAACACAAGTGTTGACGGACCCACCCAACTTGTTATCCCTTCTTGAAATCTGACAACAGTCAACTTAGATGTCACTTGCGCAATTTAACTCAAAATATGAAATTAGATTCACTTGCAGTCCACTTAAACAAGTGGACTGCAATTCTATCATAAGTCCAGATGAGTGTTGAATCATACGGTGTTTCTTTCACAGAGTTCTCTCTATCAATGACATCTTCGTGTATTATATTGTTCATGATCAGCTACATCTTGTCCAATTCCAATATGACAATAAGAAGAAGACAGTAATTTTCAATCAACTCTTTCATAATCCTGGTTTCGACTCTAATGTGTTTTCAGATAACTGGATTCACATGAGATATATGACTTACATGATTCTCTGACACTGAGATTTTGGATTTCAATTTTTTGGCCCTTAGCTTGTGAACAAATTTTACGCAATCTAACTACCAGAGACATTTCTTTACAAGTACACCTCTACGAAACTTCGTCTGGCACATTCAAATATTATGTCTGAAGATGACTTCTTGACTGATATTGTTGTACAGTTTTCCTATTTGTTTTTCTCACTCCTCTACAAATGATGCCGTCATTAATCTTCTTATGAAATTAATTCGCCAGAGTGAAATGAACATCAATGGCTGTAATCTCCGATAAGGTGCAGATTCAGATGACTTGTACGTTGTTTCTTTCCCCATATATGATAGTGTGGCATCAAAGATCTACCCCACGATCGCGTTTTATGATGCATAATTGGAATTCACCCATCACAAAAACTTCTGCATTTTGAATACCTTTCACTATTGAATTCTTATTTACAACAGTGAGCCATTTGTAGAATTCTCTGTGTCTGTCCATTTTGTGACAATTTGTCTCCTAATAAATGGAACAACTACTAACATTGATTTCGGGCAGGTCCATGACCGACTGAAATCTTAGAGAGGAATTCATGCTATATCACCAGGGATGAATCTCACATCACAACCACCAAAGGAGTTTGATTTATTTGCTTCGTCTATGACATGTAGATCAATGGAATAATTTTCCACTGTTTCTACGAAAAATCAATTTCCAAATTCAAATTGGGTATTTTACTCTCACCAGTAAGGTTTCCTTGCTACAGATGGGAAGAAAGCTGTGTGAAAATTCAATCCGCATAATATTACTTAGTGATGTACTTCATATTTTGAAGCAAATCGTGACAGCGATTGCTCTAACAATCCAAATTTTGTTCACAGACCCCACGAGATGAGAAGGAAATCAAAATCAGGATATGAAGGAAGATTAGTTTGTAAGTGTATGTAACCACCGTGGTTACTTATACCTCACAAACTTACTGTCAGTAACCTATGGAATAACTCCGTACGATCGAGAGGTATGAATAGCGAGTGATTAAATATCGTTTGAATAAACATATCAAATCTAAACTCTCTATGATTCACTCCAGTTACAATCAGACCTCATTAAAAGTGTTATTTTATTTAAAAAGTGCTACATTTGTCACAATTAAAATTGGGCCAGTGCGAAAATTAAACCTTTGAGTTATGTTTTTTTAGCCTCAAATGTTTTTGAGCCCATTGTGAACAGAAATAGAAGTAAAACATGATCACGTAATTTTCGAAAGAAAATACTAACACATATATCACAAAGGTTTTCTAAAACTCTAATGCCAGAAAATTTTGGTTATGAAACCGAGTTTCTCTAGAGTCTTAGGATTGAAGACAGGTATTGTCACTCATGTTTAGGCTGAGGTTTCAATTCACATCTCATGGATTTTGGAAGTTGGTAGAATTCAATTTAAGTCTCATATGCTGGAACTCATTTCTTCTCAGAGACTAGCGCTATGTGATTTGAATATCTTCACGGTGAATAATCATGCGGCCTGTTCATGTATTTTTCAAAATTCTTGTTAGATATCGATATCTTTAGGTGTAAGGTGAACATAATATTAAGACAAACAACCCGGACTAAATTTCTTGTGAAATAAACTAAATCTCTTATAGTTTCAAGAATGTCACACAAGTTTTTCAACACAATTGCCACTTTTCAGATATACTGGGTGCCACAATTAGCGAAAAGCTGTCAAAAATGGCAAATGCTTTTTAAAATGAGTTCTGGGTTACATGGTGTAGAAGTCAACTTTCTACCGACTACTCGCGTTTTCTACGGGCGCTTGTGATTTCGTATGACCCGTAGTCAAATAGTAGTCTACCACTGGAACAGTCGAAGTATGAGACTGGATCATGAGAATGTTGTTTCTTTGAGATGGTTGCGTAGAAAGTTCGGCAAGTTACTCTCTACAAACCGCGGTACTCCACGTCATTCAATGCACAGCACATTGCGGTCAAACTACAAGTGCTAGTCATCGGACTTTGCCGAATATTCCATTATGAAATGAAATACTAAAGTAGGAAAAGTAAGGTATGAGTTTGATATATACTCCAGTCGCATAATAAAGTCTTACTTTGTTACGAGCTGATGATATGAAGTTGAAATCAACATGATTGTGATTTACAATTTTTAATGCAGAAATGCATCTCATAACAAATAACAAAGTTCACTTGACAAGTATGGATACACACTTTGGCCAATTTGTTAATACATGAAGAGTAAATGAATACTTTCGAATCTGGCAATGCATGTCATGTACATGAACTTCCAAGGGGTATTCATGTTACTCTGATGTTGGGGGAAAATTGGCGTTTTTTAATTTTTCAGACGATATATAATACTTCAAACTTGGAAAGTTCTGGATAATCTTGAGTAACTTGAAGTATGATAGTGTTAACAAAGATTCAAAAGTCACAAAGTTGACTTTCAGGTGAATGTCAAAATAACAAAATTGTGCTTTCGGTCGTCAATTACATCGAATTTAGTCACCTCAAAGTTATGGGTGCATGGAGCTGCATAGGTGGGTTCCACTACCAAGGATCTAGACATTCTGGAGAAATTAGCAAATTTCTACATGAATGTTGTAGATACCTACGGAACTTGGAATATGTCATGCGATATGGACAGACCTGCTGAAGTCACTACAGTACAGATAATGACAATGTCTGATCTGCACACGATACAAAGAGTAGTCAGCTATATATGAAAAAAACAAGCATGGAGATTTTTACTTTATTTATTTACTATTAACGTGGAAACAATTAATAACCAATTGAATATCGTATCCTTCTCTTCGATGATCTGGTTGACAAAATAGAGTCAAGTATTACCCTCTAGCTAGAGGTACCTCATTTACCTTGCATCTAGCCAAAAAGTTGAATGCCTTCAATCAATCCAGCCGTCCTTTTCAAGGATTTTTAGTAGCTATGAAAGTCTCCTTCCAAGTCTCCTTCCAAGTACTCGAATGGATATAAATGAAGGCGAGTCCGTTCTCTCCTCCTCACTCACTCGCCTACTCACGAGCCTCCTCTCAAAACTGCTCATGTCACTCGATCATTCTCAATCTTCTGCAACAGCTCAAAACTCAATATCACATTCTCTTCTCATTGTATCTGCTTGGCCTCGATTCTCCACCAGCAAATTCTGGTCTTTTCTAGCTCATCTTACAGCTTCTTTAACCTGCCTTGTACCGAGCGGTCCTTCATCACCTTCCCAGAGTTTGGTTGTGACAGTATCTGGTGTTTGCTTCGATCGACTCAGCATCCAGTTTCTTTCGTTTGGAGTTTCTTCATTACCAGCGTGTGCAGACCTCTTCACGAATTATACAGCGTGACCATTACCAAGTGCCTTCTACCTTCCTGTCATTGCCTCTGATCGACTACATGACATACATGTCCGAGGCTCAGCTTACCATGACGGGAGTGCAGCTCACTTCTTCTCCTGAGAAGGTACTGGCGTCGATTGCCGATGTCAAAGAACTGAACGACTCTTCGGTCACCAATGCAGGAGTGCTGTCTGCCATCCTCCGAGGATTTGAGCTTCCGAAAATTTACGTGCAGCCGGACGTCGAGAGAAAAGGCAAAGTTCACCTGGACGAAGATATTCAGCTGCCGTCTGTGGACCTGTCCGTCTTCAGATTAGCCGAGGACGATCCCAGAAGAAAAGAATCGCTGGCTACGATCGTTAATTCCTGTAAAACGTGGGGATTCATCCAGGTCGTGGGACATGGTGTGGACTTGCACATGATAAAAAGATGTGAAGCAGAAGCACATCGTCTCTTTGATCTTCCGGTCTCGGTGAAGGAGAAAGTCCTTCGGGTTCCCGGAGCACTTTATGGTTACGGATCCAACTTTTTCCGTAATCTTACTGCCATGAACTGGGCAGAAAGCTTCCACATTAGCCATGCTAATGTGAGAGAATATGCAGCCAAGCTCTGGCCCACTGAATACGAGCAATTCAGGTATCTTTGACATAAGTTCATCGGAGTAGCATACGTGCCATTTTACTTCAGACTCTGATTTACCACTGATTTACTATAGAAACATCACCTAGTGTGAGATATGATATGTATTAAGGTTGCGACTGATCAATTCTGAAATGGTCGACTTTCTTACAGTTCGGCCATCGAGGAGTACATCACTCAAGTACAGGATCTGGGGGACAGATTTCGGAGGATTTTGACCGAAGGACTCGGCGTGCCTCGTGATCACTTCGATCAGTATTTTGGAGAAGGAGATGCACTCGCAACTCTGAGACTGAATTTCTTTCCTACATGTCCAGAGCCTTCCAAGGCTTTGGGCTTGAAGTCACACCGAGACCCACACTTTTTCACCTTGCTGCACCAAGATGAGATCGGCGGCCTTCAGATCTGGAACGAGGGCAGGGACGAATGGTTCAACGTTAAACCCGATCGCAACTCCTTGATCATTAACGTCGGAGATATCCTTCAGGTATACATACTCTTTGAGTCGCCCATTCCAAGACTTGGGCCATCAAGTACGACTTTTGTGTGTGTACGTGGTACTTGTGCAGGACCACCATACGGTCTCGATTCCATGTAGACCTGTCACGCTGCAAACTGTACTTGGGCTTTCTAAAGGTGGTCAGAGTTGCGTCAATCAAGGTTCCGAGCAGACAAGAGTCAATGTCGGCTCGAATCTGGACAGCTGGAAACACACGATTGCAAATTTGATTACAAATCTCATCTGTGAGCTAACCATTTTGTTCGTGATCTTCGTACTTTTGGAGGATATTATAGTCTGCAGATCGAGGGATTCTTTTATGTGGATTCAGCAGCCATATATCGTTCACACCTCGCAGAGAATGAGAACTGAATCTGCTTTTTGACTTTATCTACTTGACTACAATTGCAAGATAAATTCATACAGAATAATAATATCTTGGACAGAGACTTCGCCGCACATTTTAATTTCAGCTATTATAGACCTTCTCATCATGTGCCTTCCGATTCTTATCTGTACTTATTCATCCGTGATCTTTGCTTAAATTTTACTGCTTTTGGTATGAACCTCAGTTTACCGATCTCGAGTCTGCAGCTGCGTTTTTTTAACCCTTTGATATTCAATTTTTTGCACAGGCTGCTAGCAACGGAGTGTACAGAAGTGTTTTGCATCGAGTGGTGGTGAACAGCTCAAAAAGTAGACTCTCGATGGCGTGCTTCTACAACACGCGTGCTACTGTTGTCTCTCCCCCGGAGCTGATAAGTGCTGAAAACCCTCAAAGGTACAGGCCTGTAAGATGGGAGGATTATGCCAAAGAGGCATATACTATAACTACAGGAAAAGTTTCACAAATTGATCAGCTATACGGTATACCAGAGCAACAACACAAGTCCTGATCCATTTACACAGATGATCGCTAATGCAGAAACTTGAAATCAGCTCTGACTGATTAGTCAGAGCAGGTGTTGGCCACAGTATTGTGGGCTGTCTGAGCTATTCTTAGGGTCCAAGAGATTCAGACTATAATAATCTTCAAAGCGTCAAGAGGTTAACAAGTTCAACCAACATACTTACGTGGAGAAGACAAGCTTGATATAAGGTCAAGATTTGTCTTCCATGACGAGCAGCGATCGACATTCATCGGTTTGTTTAGGGACGCTCGCTAGGACCAACAGTACTATAAGCTTCATGCCGAGCAACTAGGGACAATTTTCGGCATCTTCGTTGAGACACACGTCATATATTACTTCTCCAGGATTCATAGGTTTGTTCGGTGAATATTTAAAAGTTATCATTGACAGATGGTATGATTACGGCCATGATGTTATTGGATCCATCGAGCTTCAAGTATCTGAAACATGGGTAGATGTACTCAGCAATTTTGGCAGACTTTTGTCATTGTTGTCAGACCCTGTTGACAGTGGTCCACGCTGTAAATTATACGAGACCATATAGTAATAAAATATCGGATGCCGGATAACTGTTTTGTTTGTTGAAACTCACTCGCTCATCATCCACAAATCATGTGGCCTGACGTAACTCGACCAGAAATAAGCTTTACATCTCTATGTCAGAATTGCCCCATGAAGAGTCTATTTGTCCCTCACCGTTAGGTCTGTCAGCTTCAAGCATGTACATTATAGACGAATGGAAACACTCGATCCGAGGTTTGGTCTTTCGGCCGTGGTCGGGGTCGGGGTTACTTGGACACAAGATACACTTCTTGCTTTGTTCTCAGATCTAGACTGGTGTCCGACATTCAAGGACGAAGTCTCTCGTCGTCAGCATCGAAGGGTTTTATTTTTTATGACACGTGAATGGTTACAACACGATGCACAATTCAGAAAATCTGGTTGAATGAAGAAAAATTCGCAGACAAGCACAGAGGCCTGCAGAAATCTCCACTGCTATCAAATAATGACGAACCATATCGATAGGAATCTGATCCTTGTCGACGATAGAGACATACTTTCAGCCAACAGACGACATCGATGTGCCTCTTCGTATTCTGGCTTTTCAACCTCATGAAACTCAGATGCACTCTCTCAGACAAGAGACGGAATTCTGCAGGACGGTTTACACGCATGTGGATGAAGTGTGCACGCCTTTAAGTACTACTCTGCATCATTCACCAGGACCGGGTCATGATAATGCCAACGCTAATCACTTCACTCTTCCCCTTCTTCATGATTGGCGTATCGTTTCGAATTCAGAGTGGCAATGAAGTGCCCATCTCGAGATATATTAATCAAGAATATGGAGACACTAAGCACGGCCTGGTTGTCAAGCCAAGGTGAGCACTGTCCGCTATTCTACCGAATGATTTCACTAGTACTTATGAGTCCCTTCATTCTGACCCGCAAGCATTCAGTCGAACGCGGGCCATTTTTTAAGGGCTGGAATTGCTATGGTCTCGACCGACGTCCAAAGAACACGAGATTTTTTGAGGCTGACAGGGCCCATGGCTAAGGTCCGGTCCACTGGATCGATTCCTTCGTAGCTCAATGGGAATTTCAGATGACAGTCCTGCCTCACGTGTATTGATGCATTTGGGGCTGGTCGAGTCCAAGTGTCGCCGGAAGGCAATGGCACAGGGGAGAGAGAACGAAGCAGCACATGCAACCTCAAGGCTGAGGAAGAGGGAGAGGAGGAGGCGATCGTCAATTATTGGGCATCTCTCATCGACACCGCAAGCAAGCATGCCAGTCCCTGAGTCCGGTCGGCTCCGATGCGACAGGCTCGGCTCGTTCAGACTGAAGAAGCGGCCGAGCGGGATTCCTTGCCTTGCCTTTCGAGTCCGACGTACTTGCCACTCTCGAGGATTTGGGCTCCCATCTGTACATCGCTGCAGATCAAGCCGAGCAACTTTCGACGTCGACAAGTGGGGGCCATTTCGTCACCTCTGAGAAGCTGGTCGAACGTTGAGAAGCCGCAGCTTTGACTAAGGCCGATGCGCCGTCGGACCGAGGAGGCAGAGCTCGGATCTATCTGCTCCTGCTCCTACTCCTACTGCTCGCATTGCACAATACGATCCATGTGCGCATGCCTCGTCTGCACCCCGGGACGGCTGAGGCGGCGCGTATTTACAGCTCCACTATGGTTAGGCCTGCCGGCCTCTGCCGGGGACCACGCGACCGCTTCGATCCTCTCGAGGATCTGGTCCACCTTTTTCTCGACCAAAAGCAGATGGGAATGATGTGTGATGTTGCACCCTGGCCACGATCGATGACGACGACGAGCGAGGCTTGGGATCAAACCAACTCCCTGCAGGTGACTGCGTTGCTGTATAGTAGAAGACAAGTCCTACACTCAACTGGCTTGGACTTTCGATGGCCTGGAGCTTGGACTACCCGCAAAATTTTGTCGGAGAGGTGCTAAAAAAAGTGAGTACCTCGTGAACTACAGACAACGAGAACAGACATAATGTGCTGAAGCTTAGTACGTCAGGTTGGAGTAGGAGGAGGAGGAGGTGGAGGTGATCTCCTAGCCAAATATTAGGCACGTGAATGTAGATTGATTTTTTAATTTTATTTCTGAGAATTGTGTTTCGGACCTGCTCGGCACCATCGAGGCTCCTGCTAGCTGCCAGCAGGCTGATCACGTATTGTTGCGGTTGCAATCCTAGCTCTGGCTCGGCTGGAGAGCAAGCTCCCAAGAGTTTAAACCTGAGGCCAAGTGATTGACTCTTTCTCTGACCTTCTCGGCGTGTTGACGACACTTTCGATCCACTTGGGCGTGGGTTTTTGCTCATGATTCTTCCGTACTCTAGCGCAGGGTAGGCGCCTGCCCTGCGCTCGGCAATCGTCCTTCAAACTTCCATGCAATGTTCGTTTCTTGTAGATCTGAAACTCCCCCACCGTAGGCTCGTTCTCAACTTCGGTCTCATCTCATCTCAGCTGCAGGTTCTGCGAACCAGTCGTCCAACTGTTTCTCCTTTTCATGTGTCGACCCACTTCGTCGCGACCACTCTCCGACCCATGAAAAGTCCACATCTTCATGTCGTCATCCGCGTCCATGATGTCGGCCCATGTTTCATTCTCAAGGTCATTCTCAAGGTCTTCGAGGGTGATCGCTCTTGGCCACAAGTGCATGCATTGCGGTGTCAGGTTCTTTAAAGACACGATCAAGAACTAGTGCAATTGGTATTCATGTGAAGCGTGGCATCTCATCCCAGAGAGCGGTTTAAACACGAGTCTTATACAAAAGGATCGACTGATTATCCGTATTACGTGCGTCAGCTGCTACTGCAAGCAATGGCCATCAATTAGGAGTTGTTCATACCATCATTTATTCATAAATATATACATATACACGTACATTCCCCAGTATATATACAATGTCGGATAATATCCACAAATGTATCCAAGTAAAGCTCCTATAGGGAACAAGCGTTACCAAGGCTCGGATGGATATGGTCGTATGTAGAAGGTGTACTTTCAGTACCGATACCAAAACGTCTCATGTCTATAGCTAGCTTGCATTCGTGCTCTTTACAGCTACTGCAGTCTATGTGGTACCAGGTCATTATCACAAGCTCTTCATTGGAAAATACCCATTCACTCATCTGATCTGCGAATGAATTTGCATCTCGTCCAACCATGATTGAGTGCATTTCAGGATCTTCGTTGACGCCGTACTGATATTGAGAATTGGGATCGTTCTTTAACTATAAAAGAGATCTAGATTGGAAGAGTTGAAGCAGCTGAAACGTCTCTTGCTCTGGATATCTGCTCTGCTTCTACTACTGCGTTGCAACCTATGCGCTCCGTCTAGCCATGACAGACGTTACGTGAACTAGAATAGATTCTGAGGGCCTTCCAGAGCAGTGTTGAACCTCGGTTATGCTGGAATCTATGGTCCAGACGCATCTCATAGCTAGCGAGCATGCTCTGTAGAAGTTGTCGATGCTGATGAGTGTTAATCAGTCGAAGAAGCTCATGACGAATTCCACAACTGTCCAAGTTATTATATGGTGTGCGTGCCATACATGAATGCGAGTGCATGCACTAATGTCTCTCCGGTCAAGAGCACGAGAAGTGGAGTTTCAGCTTTACCATGGTCTACCTACTCTGGTTCGAGACTTGTGTTCGATTGTATACGGTGAGTATTCAGCATTCTTCTAAATTCATAACGCACGTCCGAAATCTTGTGGGCACAAGGCAGTGCAACTGGGTTGAAGCTCCCACCTTTTCTTAAAGCTGCCATGAAATTTGTACGGGGAATTCGATAGATTGCGTCCATACATCTTATGGATACTGTATTCTAACTCTTGATGCCACATTTCAGTGGAAGATCTTTGTTCCTCAAACTAAATGAATCTTCCTCTCCTGAATTAGAAATTAAGCAAAATTCATGGATAATGTCTTTCTAGCAGTTGCATTTCTAAAATATTATAGTATAGTCGTAACAAGTCAATAGTAATGGTTGAGTTATGAATGTGGACGCCACAAAATAGATTCACGTTTGGTCTTTATTAATGACTATAAGGAAATGCTAGAGTTTGTAAGATAAATGATATAATATAATATAGTCACTATATTATGTTGTACATTCATTGAAGGCAAAGTTCGAATAATATCAATTTTGGTGATACAAGAAATACCTCTTTTGTCCTCAGGAACTCCAGACGATAAACATTTTGATAGATTACGCATTCCAGCGTAATATGACAACGGAGGTTGCGGCCTTCCGCTACCGCAAGGCCTTTGTCCATATGCGTAGGGGACAAGAGTATTACTCAACTCCAAGGCTGAGATTCTTCGTACGTATCCTGGGTGTGGATTATCTCAACTCTTCTTCAAACTTTGACTTCCTGCTGTTGTTTGAACGTGTCCTATATAGACATAGACTCCAGCCAATCATACACTTTAAGCATCAGTATGAGAGTGGAATCATCAGTACGTAAAGTTTGCAAATCTTGCTTTCTCTTTTCAGGTTGGGAGGCTTCATGGCTCCTGTGATTGTTGGGGGAGGTCTACCTGAAAGAGTCCAGTCTTTCTAATGCTGAATGACATACAAAGATCAGAGTAAGCTGAAAAGTCCAACTATCTGTACTATAATGAGTAGTAGCTACGCAAAGGTCACCCGTGTTTGCATGTAAAGGCCTTCTCAGGATGAAATTACATCTTAGCAAGTCCTAGAACGGTGATTCGGCAACTATGTGTTCAAGAGACTCCTCGTGCTTCTATACGGAAGATTCTTTCTAAACTCCATGATGTATGGCATCCAGAATCTATGGAAATGTATTACAATGAACCACCTTGATCATATTGTCGATTGCCTCGATAGGAATATTTCGCTTTTCCATAATGATGGTGGTCCCCGTGGACTTGAAAGTCATCCGTGGAATCTTTGAAATCTAACCCACACTTCAGTTTCTGTCTATTCGTGCGTGGAGTGGAGTACTCACATCGATCGAGAGGGCATGAGCAAATAAAAATTTCTTCGTGAACCGCGTAAGTTTCGCAGATTGAGT